CCCCCCCCTGTTGTGGAGTAGTAGTTGGCAAGCCTTTCCCCCCGTCGTGATGTCCTTCGTTTGCGATGATGAATTTCCTCCCCGCACCGCCTCACACCGACACGTTGGTGGCGGCGCTGATGGTTTATTGTCTCTGTCCGTCCCTCCCTCAGGCGAGCAGCTGAACTTCTTGATGGACACGGTGGCCTCGGGTCACACGTTCATGGACACCGAGCAGACGTACCACGCCACCCGCCTTGTCATCGAGTCGCTCACCCTCGAGGTGCGTGCCGCCTACATAGTTCTACAACTCCGTATTTAGTAATACATACTCTATTCCGTATGTATTAGTTTCATGTGTTGACAGGGTGGGGTGTAAATGCCTATCTCGAGACCACGAACTTAAGTTTTTTTTTTCCTGCAGTTTGCGTACACGCACGTAACACCCCACGACGTATGGTTTCTAAGATTCTTCGGGTAGAGGTTGGTATTGATTCCCACCCCCAAACCATCATGCGAGTACAGGGAAAACTAGCTGAGATCACACACACACACACACACACACACACAGTGTTTTCAGGATTTGTCGTTGTTGGAATGATTGTTGTTCTTGTTGTTGTTGTGGTGTGTGTGTCAAGCAGGAGCTGAACGAGGTGGCAGCCGAGCTGTGCGAGCACATCACCCTCTTCGGAGTGCCCCAGGCCAACAAGCCCAGCGCCGTGGTTGCCTGCGTGCCCACGGCGATGAAGGTGAGGCAAAAAGCGCAATCAACACGCACGCACGCACGCACGCACGCACGCACGCACGCACTACAGCAGGAGTGGTGGTATCGCAGGCTGTGTTCATGCGGTAAACTACACGAGATGCCATGTACAGTATTATAATAGTGGCTACTTGCGGTCACCGGCGTCGTCCGCTGGAGTTGTGGGTCCTGCATAGGGGGGCGGCAAGGTTGCTTGCTGGCCCACTGCTGCTGCTGTTGCTACCGGGGTGGGGGTGGTGTATTGGTTTTTCTTTCGGTGGAAGAACACACACATATTGGTGGCACGACGGATTTTGTTGTGGGGCTCATTGAAAGTTTTGCTTTCAACGGTTGTTGGACAGGGCACCCGATTTCTTTATAGTATTTTACTCTTAGTGACAGAGCCATTAATCCCGCGGTTTTGTTCGATTCAGAGTTGAACCGAAGGTGGCCTTCCCCGTTGCGGTTTTGATCCCTTTACAAGGCCTCATTTTCAGTTTGGACGGTCGACCCTTAAAAAGGCCGGTGAGTTATCGCATGACACAGATGGAATGTTCAAGTTGCCTCATGCACACCAAGTGCTGCTGCTTGCACCTGGCCGCAGTGGCATTGACGTGTGGTATGCTGCTGCACCTAATCCTTTCCACCAGGTGCCCGCGATTGGACCGAATGGCGAGGAGTCGACGGAGGCCATGGAGCTCTCGGAGGAGGATGTAGTGGCCGCCTTCATCGAGGGGGTAAACGAAGAGGTATGCATGTGCATCTATGCACATATCCATACTTGAATACATGTGTACACATACTTCGTTCTTCAAGGCGCTGCTGTGTAGGCCATGGTCATGCTGCACCCCCCCCCCCTGCCCCCCTTGT